TCCCCCTCCTCTCTCTCCCCTCCCCTCCTCTCTCTCTCTATCCTTCCCGCCCTTTTCGCTCTTCACAACTCTCATATAAATATACAGTATTAAATTGTTTCATTTGCCTGCACTCCTTGAATTAACTATACTGGTACATTTTTATTCTATATTTAGTATGACGAGTACGATGTATGCATAGTTGATGTTGTTATTATAATGCATGTGATCCGACATTTATCATTCCTTGAGTCATACTGTTCATGTACTATACATATCAGCTTTGTTTGTGGTGGACCTTACCTTGCCAAGCCAAATTAGCTTGGTACATTTATAGTTTTGTGTGTAGTAGGTAGAAATGAATGTGGTGATGGATTGTGCATGGAATGGAACTAAAAAGCGTCCTACAAAGAGAAGCATTGCAAGCTCGCCTTGCGTCTTTGATGATTAGCCTATTAATTTGTCTTGCAAAGTTGATTTGATTTTTTGTTTTTTGTTTTTGTTTTTTCGGAGGTCTGTGTACATTTGTAGTTGTTTTCCCAATGAATTCATATCATTATTATATAATAGCTAAACACACTTGTAGTACAATAATATGCATTTAGTTATTTTGCTTTTGCTCTTCAATAGTTTTATTGTTGTGCTGCAGTGTGGACAAGCGAAGAAACGAAATCACACTAACGCTGAAGTGGCAGAAAGAATCACAACGTTTTGTTATACAATTTTATTTTAAAATGTTGTTTTTTAAATGAAGAACAAATAGCAAGACTAATGACCACAATAAAAATAAAGAGCACGAACCAGTTTATACAACATTAACGACGACAATAACAACAACATCAACAACAACAACAGCAACAACAACAACAACAACAACAACAACAACAACAACAACCGCAACAATAACAGAGTCTGTAAGAGAATGAGATCTGGAGATTCATCGCCTCACTGCCGTCTGTACTGTAACGGTTAGGCGCTTCACTGTCGCACGCAGGAGACCCTAGTTCGATTACTGAGTAGGGAGAAAAACGTGTTTTCGAGTGTCTCGCTCGGTACTTTATCTAGGAAGTTGTATCCTTCTCAGTCCGGGTTGACCCTGATAGGCAAGGCCAGAAACCCTTCTCTTAAATGATTTCAATGTTCGATTAGAGCGTAGAAAACGCCTACATTACTAGAAAGTAGTAAAGGAATTGTTGCCTTGTGTATTCAAGCAATACCTTAAAGTGCACTTTCTGTTGAAATGCGACTTAATCGTGGTGTACCTGTTGAATCATTAGATAATAACACTAATCCTAAGTCTACCCCCACTAATCCATGTGCACAATGAAGTGATTACATTGATTGTGTGGCGAAATAATTGAAACTTCAGAAAGCTTTTAAAAATTAATTAGTTCTTTATTAATATGTATAATATTATTCCATACAGTTAGATGGAATTAGTTTGAGCTTTGAATTCTTTTTACAGGAATGAAGCGTGCCTCCTAGATTATTTAAATTGCGTATTAAAAAATAGACCTCTGTGTCAACACCACCACTATTACGCTGCTGTTGTTTTAATTGTTGTTGTTTTTTTATTGGTCTCTTCACAGTAGCTGATCTAAATGTATGCATTAATTTCTACACTCACTGAATTCTTTTTAATTTTTCGACTGACGTTGCAATTTATTATAATGTTAAATTCCTAAGCTTTTTTCCAATATTGTGTCTCTTTGATTATTATGTTATTTAAGAATGATTCCAACATTCAAATTTAGAAAAGCGACTGTTTTTTGTTGCTGTTTTTTTACTTTACTCCTAGGTAATTAGATCTAGATGCCTTAAAAATATATATTATATAAAGCTATTTCTTTGGCGTCTCTCTCTCTCTCACAGTGCCTGTCCATGGGGCTCAGCGCATCTACCACAGTCAGCAACTGGCCCCTGTGTTTGAAGTCCCAGCCACTACTAACATGGAGATTTATGACGTTTACCAGTTTGCAGGTGAGAAGAAGAAAAAGAAGAAGAAGAAGAAGAAGAAGAAGAAGAAGAAGAAGAAGAAGAAGAAGAAGAAGAAGAAGAAGAAGAAAA